TTAAATAATATAAATTGGCAGTCTTATCACATGATGGTACTATATAAATAAAAAAAAAACTCGGTCAATTGGTTAGAGCAACCGTATGTGAACACTGTGAATGCCGGTTCTAGTCGTGCCCGAGTCGTAACTTTGTTCAATTTATATTCGATTTTAAAGTCTTATCAACTACTTGCGTAAAAATATAGTCATGACACGGAATAAGAAATGTCTGAGCACTTAGGAAGAATTCTACTTATTGACTACAACAAAAGCAGTATTGTATCTTTATAATAATTTTTTATTTATTTAGAAGTTTACAACTATTGTCTTGAATTGAAATTATTAAACTATTAAATACCTATGTATACATTGGCCGGATTAAAATAAATTATCAATTAAGAGAACATAATTAAGTGTTCAAAGCAATATCCTTCCAATTAGGGAATCAAATGAAGATACATTATAGACCTTTCAACCCACTAGCCACTTACACATTCAGGTGGAAACAGACCTTTTCTATTTCAGCGGGAGCGCGTTTTATCGACATATTTTATTCAGCGCTGGTTGCATTAATAATTTCAACGATTTTCGACCTTACTCCGCATATAACATGGGCATATTTATTACATGCAAACGCGTGAGAATGTCTCCATATTTACTACGAAATACTTTACTCCCTTTTAATCGGAGGTTTTTTATACTCATTCTAGAAAAGGAAAGAAATCAAATAGTTCTCAGAAAAGGGTCCTGACGAGTGTAGCAAAACGTATTGAAATTAAAAGCAAAAAGTCGCAAAACTAACGTAGTAGTGAACTTCTGTACTAATTCTGAGTATTCTGAACTACAAGGCGACGTCGACTTGATTGACATTCTGGAACAATGGTTGAAAGTATTGCATGAGAGATCCGGGGTTCACGTCTTGGGGAAGCATAAATTTAAAAAATCATATCGTATAAAATGTATTCATTTAATGAAAAATCTATTAAGATTGATTAATCTGGTAAGTATGGGTGATGGGTAGGCCTTAAAGCAGCATTCACAAAGTTCCGTACTGTTGCTCTAACCAATATAAGCTACCGTCTCTCACACGCCAATCTCAACGAAGTTATATTCTATAGCCACGTATTCTATCATTTGACTAAATAGGTATGTATGTATATAGTCAAATGATAGAACTAAAGCTATAGATTACCATAAAAACGGTTTTTTTAGGTTAAACATAAATAAGTATCAACTTAAAAAAACGTTTAAGTTAAACAGTTTTATTTTTGTGTGCTGAAAAATAGTTTTTTTTTTTTACATAATCATCGTGTTTTACTAGTTAAATAGTTAGATACCCATGTTGAGTGGGTAAAGGAAAAATGTGTAATCCACCATCTTGTTATTTTATTATATTGCATTGTCATCGAAATTAAATATGTGCACCATTTTTCAGATCAATCTGACAATGGGAAGGTGTTTAAATTTCAATTCTAATTTCAGTTTCTCGTTCAAAAGTATAAATCAAAAATATTTTTTCAATTCCATCCAGTTGATTCTGAGCGTTCGCGTTTACAGAAATAAACACAGTCTTCAGCTTAACAATACTAACATAGATATAGGTATCTGCAATACGAAATAATGGCGTTTTGAACCCAAAAAAGAAGGTGACTATAAGCGGCTTATTGGAAAGTTGAATCGCAAACGCAATATTTCTGAAACAAATGCTGTTATAAACTGGACTGGAGTTCCATAATCTTCGAATAATTTTTCATTACTACTAATACACTCCCCGGCAATAGTTGGAGCTTTGCCAGCGTTGAAACTTGTGAAAAATTCCAGTTTCAACCTAGCGAGACCTAGCTTGTAAAACTTTTTCAGTTTCCTTTGAATTCACTGCGGGCGTTTCTACATCTTGATATTCGTAAATAATACATATTCGCTCTTAGTTTCCGAAAAGTAGGTCAATATGCCATCTTAATGTCATTATGGAATAGGACCGAATTTTCTGCAGCAAAAATAGAAGATATGTTTTTGAAATTTAGAGAATTTAAGAAGTTCGACTTTGTGTATAACATTACAGTATCTAACGTTGACTGTAGTTTTCGTGGGTATTAATATACATATCAAAAATTATTGGGTTATACTTTATATCGCGAAATCTATTAACTTTTTATTCATTTGCGGTTGTTAATTTTAGATATTAGTTTAAAATTTAGTCTCACGTCTTAGTTAATGTCAACCCTTATCAAATACAGTCAGTACTTGTATGAATATATTACTCTCGAGATTTATCATTATCACTACATAGTATAAAACCCCTTTTTCTGTCACTATGTACGCTTAAATCTTTAAAACTACCCAACGGATTTTGATGCGTTTTTTAAATAGATAAAGTGATTCAAGAGGAAGGTTTTCGTATACAGCGTTCACAATGTATTTAGTAGAATTTCTTTAATGTATTTAGTAGAATCCGGGGCGAGTCGATAGTTTGTTATATAAAATCATTGAAGCAATACGTATATTTACTTATTTTATTAATTAAATATAGTATCTAAAATGATTTAAAACAATTACAAAATATTTTTAAGACCGTGATAATATAACGCTACGTCAAATGTCTGCACAGATTTGGTTGAAATAAACTCAAGATTCCCTAGTTTCCGTATTCACTGCTCTTTCCATGCATTACAAGCACTTAATACTGTCACAGTTTAACTTACTATCAGTTGGACATCTGTAATATATATTGCTTTAGTAAACTGTAAAACACGATTAAGAATATGTTATTATAATCGTAAGCAAATATTAAGAATTGTTGTTTTCTACTAATGATTATTATGATGCTACTAAACGAATCCTTATTATACGATGTAAACACTAATATTGAACTTTAGGGAAACAAGAGATCTTCGGTCGGTCTGGGCAAAGAAGACTGATCAACTATATACCTAACTATAACAGAATCGATCAGTGAAACAGACACAGAAATGTGTTCGCCCCATGCTCCACGGGACAAAACTGGATTTTGCTTTTTATAAGACTGAATAAAGTAATTTTACACATACGTCTTATTTTTTTGAAAAACAATGACTGTGCTGTCTGATATTTCCCCACTGTAAGTTTCCATTGCTATGCAGTTAAGGTTTACCAACTACGGTAGCTGGCACTCGTCCAAGCGTTTCAAGCTCAACCATTGTTCTACTTTAAGCGTCAAAATTTCATATTGGGTCATTGGCAAGTAAACATCCCTTCAATTACTACTAGGCTACTAAGGTGCGAAAAACTTAAAAATACTTTTACAATGAAGAAGCCGACAAACAAAAAATTCCAACCCGCAACCACTGAAGTTACCATGTCTTCGTCCATCATTGGGCCCTATAGAATCAATTTTGATGTTGTGTGTGTAAAAATATACAAAATTACATCAGCGAGTTATATTTAATCGTTCAATTAAACAAAATGTATGGCAATAACTATATTACATTAATAAAGTTTTATTATTGATTAAATAAGAGTTATTTTCGAATTATTTAAAGATTTATGATAGCTGATAGATGGGTAGAGTTTTAACCCTCGACTTTGTCGACATGAAAAGGTTACTTTAAGCAGCACTTTATTTTTTTAGAATTAATAAATAATAATTTTATTGTAGCATCAATTTTGCGATAGCTCAAATTTTATTTTTGTTATAATTTAAGTTAGCGTTATATTTTTTTTTTAATGGACCAACTATTTCTATAGCTTTTTATAGCATATTTAAATAACTTTGTGAATGAATACATGAACACATCTGAGACGGAGAAATACCGTTCAACGTTGTATTTCTTTGGGACTAGAGCGATTGAAGTTTATTAGTTTTGTCCATAAAAGGGGCAGCAGCAGTAAACCTGTATCGAGCGAGTCTACCGGAACATACAATGTTTTTAATACTGGGTGTGTGGTGCAAGTCAAAAGAAATGAGATAAAAATAATATTAAATACTTATACAATAATTTTTCTCATATAAACGAAATTATGTGAAATATTTTTGATGAGGCACTTATGGTAATGCCGTATTCGGTACCACTTTCATAATTAACTTTAAAAATTACCAACACACTACTAGCATTTAATTCCGCGAAAAATATTCAACATTCATATTAAATAAAACTGTAATTATTTAGAAGTATAGTTACGAAAATAATAATAGTCGATAAAAATATATATTTTGATAATTCATGATTTTTCATAGTACCTAATTTCAGCAAAGCACTACCATGACGTGGCAAACAGCAAACACGATAAAAATACTAGCAAATAATTTACAAGAACACGAATATAGTTAAATAAAAAATTATATTGAACTAAGTTTGTAAACAAACGTTTATGACTTGCACCATACAGTCTAACTAATATCCAGTTAACATTGTATAAGCCCAACTGAAACTAGACTCAATTACGGTGTAATAAAACCTGAAATGCAAAGCGCGCATCTAAATAACGTTTTACTTCCGGTGCAGTTTGTTTTGTTAATAAATCATCAATTTTCTTATCGTGACGCAACATCCGGCGAGATGTGAATGACCGACAATTTTAGGTAATGTTCTATAATTAACTACGAACTATAATCATCACTACATACAAAAGTGATACACTGGCTAGGTCAAAATTAATGTACAAGATCAGGACATTTAGTTCTAAATAACTGACAGCAAGCAATTTTCAAATGTGTTGTGTTATTTACACAGTCATTATTTTTCTATGTATACAGTTAAAACATATAACTTTAGGCGAGTGCAGTCGCAAAAAGAGATAGAATAATAAATAAACAAATTTTAAAACGCTTGTATAGTTCGGAATTGTATCAAAGGAAACATTGAAATATTTTTCTAAAACTCTCTCATCCGACAAAACCGAGGATCCTGTTGAGGTTTTTCGGCATTTCCATTTTGTGCAAAGGAAACGGGTTGCGAGGGTATTAAGATTTACATTTTGTCACTTAATTATTAACGAGAATTTAAACCTTTGCGTAGCCCCTCGGTAATCTTATACCCAGATTATTCGGCGCCGTGACAAATGCCTTTTGGTATTGTGCTGAGGTTTGCATAATTGACAGCTGAGTACACTTTTTCTAACGCCCTCTAGATAATTTAATAACTCCTTTATAATTGGAAACAGGTAAAATAATTTACTAATCGTTAAGATATTTTCTAAAACTATAAGATTGTAAGATTTCTAATATGCTTAACTTGTTTCCATCATTAGGTTAATCGTGGTCTTAAGTTCGAATCTTAGGAATGTATGTAAAAAGTACTTGAGTTAAACAGGGATCAAATACTATCAATAGAGTCGATCAGGGAACACTCTCACGGTTATAATAAAACTTTTTTTGGAATTCACAGAAAATAAAACACTTTTAACGTTAAAATTAATACGATTATGTATAATTAAATAATTTTGTAAGAATTATCGCTTTTATTCAATCTATACCATTCGTGGTATACCAATACATAAAAAATCGTATTGTTCTTCGGAATATTTGAATATTGAATCTATTTCTTTATCTATTAGAAAAAATATTTAATTCTTATACCGAAAGGCAGATTTGGGTTTTATTTGTGTGTTAGCTTGCTATAGACTTCTTTATAACAACGTGTGGTGCTTAAAATTTGAACGCTATCGTTCTGCTATATGAAGTGCTATTATATAACAGTGATGGTAAAAACGGCCTATTAACCCGTAGATCATAGTTGGCTTTATCCTTAATTTAGTTTATCGATTAAAACTTACCGCTTGTATAAAAAAGTCCTTGTGTAGAACGCTAACGATCCCGAAGTTTGTGAACTTGAAGACGCGATCCATGATCCACATGAGGTTGGAGAGGAGGCCCAGACGAGGATTCCAAGTGGACATGAGGATTGGGACATCTGCTGTACTCTGATGGTTCGCTAGGACGAGCGTCCGTCGACTTGTACATACTGCTGGCTCGTCCCCGCTTTCTATTACTGTTGACAAAAATTACATTTATAAGTGTTGTTTTATGAAGTAAGGCAATAAGGAAAGAAAACAATGTTTATTTGCTATTCATAAGATGTTTAGAACTAACTTTAAAAGATCTAAAAAATTAAAATCGATTGATCGAGTGTCAGTCAATATTGTCGAAATTATAAATTTCTTACCCGTAATTAATAAATTACCATTATTTATTGTTTCTGAAACAGATTGGTCTTCTTCAGGAAACCTGAATCTTAAATCGGTGGTAGCAATATTGAAATTCCGTCCGTCAAACCACCGTCTACAGAGCCGTCAAGTTTCAGTCTGTGGACTTCCGAATCCACAGTCGACAGCGTATCTCATTTAAATCTATTTTACCTACCATTAAATGAACTGAATACTTGCTTACCCTCCTCTGATTAAAAAAAAATCGTTTTCAATCGGTTTCCATGACATAAATAAAGAAATGTCTATTAAAGTATATTAACAAAACAATCTACCTTCTACGGTGTAAATGTTGTTAGACCGAGAAGTAATTTGAATTTTATATACAAAGTTCTAAAACATTTAGACGTTTGGAGAGTGCTGTTGCCACTAAAACGATTAGACTGCTACACCCCTGGGAGTTGCGAATGCAATAAATACAGCCTAGAGCGAGCTAGCTTCTGACCCAAGTTCTCAATTCGAATAACTATAAACATTTAATTTGGCGTATTTTATCCTTGATCGTCACTTTTAAAGTGGATTCGAAGGTTTGGGAGCTAGCCACTTCTATGTACAGAAGACTATTCTAAAATTAGGTTTATGACAGTCTGCATTAAGGATGATTTGTTTAGTCTGTGCTAGCGTAGTTTCAAAGTCTTCTTCCCCCTGATGGTCACTGAAAAGCGGCGCGTTACCGCTACTCTTGTAGGCGATCTACAAGACTAATGGGAGTAGACGCTCTTGGAATTATCTATTATTGTATCTAATATTTTTTCTGTTATTATACTTATAATTATACATTTAAATAAAATACTTTTAAGGGTTTAAAATGCGCAATAACTTAATAATTAACTAATATATTTCGCGTTTTAAATCGTTGAAGATAACATACAAAATAACAAATACATAGAAAATAACACGTACGTACGCGTACGTATACATATTAACGTCCACAAAGTGGTCATACATTTTATAAGCTACAAAGAAAAATTATTGCAATATTCCGCCAGAGAAGAATATATTAATCAAGGCTAAACTATATAGAATCATATATCTCCCCAACCTTAGCCACATATGAAAAAACAACAAAGGTCCGGTCTCTCCATCTGCAAGTATTGTGTCTGAAATATTTATTTCGCGAGACCGCTTATACAAGCCAGTGTTTGGCGAACGTGACGCCTTACAAGGAGATGGATTTTGATAAGGGTTCCTTTAGTCACTGCGAAATATTGGAATCGGAGTGGTTAATATTTACTGGGACGCGTACAAGGGAATAAAACATATACGGTATAAGTGATAAATGAATGTTTTCTTTCTTTGTGAATAAACTACGCAGGAAACATTTTAGATGGTATAAAAGTTATATCACTTTTCCACTAGCCGCAAAATTCAATACTGACGGCGTAAGTACAATAAGTAATGCGAAGAAGCTTTTAGATTTATCATCTGTTTTGATAGAAGAAGCTGAAGACTGTTTGAAAGCGCTAATCTCAGGAACAACTGGTGCGAATTGAAAAAATATTTTTGTGTTGGTTAGAACATTGAGGAAGGCTATAGACTACAAACGCTTAACGACTTATAGGAGCGAAGGAACAACGGGAAATGCAAAGGAAATTATGAAAATGTTTCATCCTTGTGGGTTTCCGTTGCGTACGTTAAAAACACGGATTAAGGTACACAAAACATATATGTATATAAAATAATGATTTCTCTTTAAATGGTTTAAAAAAATGTCAGCGACACTACATGTCTATCTTAAATCTATAAATGAAGAGGCGGTTTGCAAAACCAAATGTTGACGCTTTAAATAACTATTCAACGAAATCGCTGACACAGCTAGTAAATAAGTATAATTTCCGATTTTATTAGTATTTAAGCAATAACAGTGTTTATAAGAACTCAGCTGTTTTATTAGACAGATATCGTAATTAACAAGTTTAATATGATTTTAATTTGATTAACTATGAGAAAAGATTTCTTTTTATTCAAAACACAAACTTCTGCGTCCTTACGAAAAAATATCAATAAAAGTAATGGCTCATTAAAATTCTAAAGGCTAAGAGGATTAGAACCCCACTCCATTCGAACGAGAACATCACAATCTAAAATTCAATTGAAGTGAAAAATCACATAATTAGCATAACAAAAAATCTCATGCATTTTCCTCTACTTAAAATAAATAATGGCATTTAAGATTGAAATTACAATCGCTTGAGGCGAAAGCGCCGAATTTCCTAAATAAATAATCTTACTGCTATCTGAAACGCCATAAAAATTATTAACATTTTCATAGTCGTTTATTCGGAGCCCGATTTTATTTGAAATAATTTTTCTCGGTAAGCACTAAAAGAAATGAAGCTATTCATTTTCGCTTCGTTACTGTTTTATAGGAATGGCCGGACTTGACGGTCGTTATTATAGAAATACTGTAGACGAATTTTGTAATCACTACATTTCTCCTTTTACTATTTGAAACGAAAATGCTGAATGCCTTTAGACAGGCAGTTACCTAACTTAACTGTCTAATACATAGGAGCCGAAAGAGTGCCATAAAAGTGTTATTCGGTCAAACATAAATTAATTAATTTTAAATATAACTTATAACCACTAAAACGCAAAATGGAATCGTTAATTATTTTTTAATTTTGATCCTTTATAGAAGTGACTCACGGTGACGTGACTTAGTAGTGATTTTCGGAGCATCGTCGAGTCGCAGTAAAAATACCTTAACACAATTTCTCGTTTTAAACAGTTGAAAGTACTTTCAGAATCACAATTTACTTTCGAGGGGTTCTTAATATAACATAAAAGGGTTTTAAATTAAAAACTGTTATCAATAGCTGAAACATTTTTAAAACAAAGCCACGTTAAGCAGAACAGACAAAGGACGTCTCAGCCTTAATAAAAACAAAATGAGCCAAGAAAATCTGAGACTAAATGCAACGTTTAATTAATAAAGCAATCTCTTTGAGACGTTTAATTACAGGTATCGTATCTCATTCAAATTTAACTCCGCTCTCGAGATATTGTATAAACGAAATAGATACTCTTGCCAATTATTATTTTGAGCCTTTGTTTTACGAACTTGTCAATGATAAACGGTGTTTTGTTACGCTTGACAAACAAATCTTCAGGTTTCGAATTGATTCCCAATAGTATGAACCATTTTTTTCTTAAGACGCAAATTTATTTGTAACTAATTGATCAACTAAACGTTGTTATATTGTTTGCAAGATTAATTATGTTGATACAACTCTAACAAATCATTGATAATAGCGCATTAATGTCGACAAAATTTGATTAAATAAAAACTGTTCTGGCAAGTAAATCCTATAAGATCTTCATGTAATCTCGTAACTTTCTTTAGATAATGTATACATGAATGATTCTTTCGTGCATACTTTTTTCTTAAATTTCTTGAACCGTCGCAGCTGAAGACCTTAAGGGTGATTTTTTTTTTCTTAATTCGATCCTTATTTCGTAGTTCCTTATTACCAGCGCAAACAGACTCTTCCGCTTTAGGTATAATATTAGTACACATAAGGCGAGTTGTTACAGTGGCTTGGAACTGACTTGGAAACAACATTTATTATTTATAAGACAGTTTTTTTAATTGTATTGTGTAATTAACGAATATAAAACTTACTTTGTCTTTTTTGCTGCATTTAATGGTTTTTTTGGTAGTGAATAATATTAAATGTACAAAGAAGTATATTTGTTTTCCATATATATTAATTTATCTGCATGTGAAATTTGTTTAATTAATTTGTAATTATTAAGCTACAAACACAAGACAATAATACTTTGGCATATAACGATACATTCGTATTATTTAACTTAGTTTTGTACATGCAGCTAACAAGGACTTAGTAACGATTCCTACTTTTGATAAACATTAATACCTAAATCGATAATATGATAATGTAATTGCCTAATAAAACCCCCCAAATCCCACTCATCTAAAGGTCAAGACAAAGAGCGTGCTGAGCACAGTAGGACGCCATCAACTCAACACTTAAAATGAAAGTAATATTCGAAATCTGAGATAAGAAAATTTATTTGTTTTTTCAAATTTGTAATTTGTTTATATTAAATTAGATTCGGCACATTTAAAACAGTTCCCGTAATACGTGTATATATAATAAAAGTAATTACTGTGTTTCTATTCTATATCCATGTCAAAATTCTGTTTTTTTTTCGAGTCACCAAGTCAACAAGAAGAATCTATTGAAAATGAAGTTTCGTCAGTTTGAATGACACAATTAAACATGAAAATTCATTTAATTTTAATAATAGTTTATACAAGAATCTTACTTTGGATAAGAAGTCGATTACTTACAGTTAAGTTTATAAGGTGGATTTATCACTAGCGAAATAACTATATATGTCAAATATTTTTAAAAAGTGTCTTAAGAGTAGGTTAGATTGTTTGATAAAACGAAACAAATTTTAAACAAATCCTTTGCATGATAATAAGAAAGTTGTCTGACTTACAAGAATACGGGTTTACAGGAATGTAATTACTAGATTATACACTCAGTAAAATTGCTCGGAAAACTATAAAGCTCAGTGGCGCAAGGTTACGGCTTACAGTTAGCTCGCATTTGAAGGCTCTACCATAGTGCTGTAGGGTGACAATATAATATTGAGAATAATAATATTTTGTTATGCCTTCAAAAAAATGCCTCCTAAGAAAAATATAAATCTTAGGATTCCATCGGAAACCTTAACGCTTTTAACAGATTAAATTAGAAAAAAGCCTGTTTCCTATCAGGAAATTAAGCACGAAAGATTTGGAGGTGTGCATCCAAGGAAAACATAATAAAATAAAACGACCGAACGAAAAAATGCATCTCTGCCCTGTAAGGTACGCATAAGGCAAGTGAAAGAGTCACATTATTTTTTCTGTTCCATGTGTTGTATGTTGGTAGTTGTAAAATTTCTGTTCCTTTATGGGTGATAAAGGAACAGAAATTTTTCTTCACAACTACCTACAAGAGAAGTTAAATTTACTTCCTGATACTGTCTATAGTTTACGAGAGTAGTACACATTTAAATAAAACACTTTAACGGTTTAAAACGCGATATATTAGTAAAACTTATTTAAAAAAGAAATAATTTTTCAAATAAGTTTAACTAATATATCGCGTTTAAAACCGTTAAAGTGTTTTATTTACTTCCTGATGTTTCGTTTCACCAAACTGAGAGTAACTTTTACAATTGTTCATTGAGTTTAACTTTAAAGAATCTTCTTTGGATTTGAATCAAATTAGATAGTTCTAGATTTTCATGAATCATGGTAACCCTAGCGATGCATGTCACGTCTTCGTATTGTAACATAAGCTAACCTTGTATGAAACTAGCGTTCTCGACTGCACAGTGCACGTATCCCATATTGTTTATTCCCTTCATAATTTGCTAAATATCTTTTATATTAAATTCATGCTCTTTAAATTGTTACAGATAGTTAACTAAACTACTTGCATTAGTTAATGGCAGTATAGTCATTTACTATTTAGTGATATACTAAACGTGTAGCTCTCGTCACAACATAAAGATTTAAGGTATACATATGTATAGTTCCTAATTTAAAGCTATACAGGTTCATTTCAAGAAAAAGCTAAATTATATTTAAATTTAATTATAACGAACTTCTTAACACTGCAATATCCATACATATCATACTATAATTCATAGCATTTTTCTAAGAGGTTATTTTTTCTAGAATATGTTGTGCATTGTATGTTATAGTACTATCTACAACCTAATTAGCTGTAAGTTTTTCTTAAAAAAAGGGGAGAGCACGATCACAAGGAAATGCCAACGAGGACCCGCGGGCGATTTGAAGCGGTCTCGGGATTTCAAAAAGAAAATACCAAAGCGCTATTTTTCCGCACACCGCTGCGATATTTTCTTAGAATATCAAGATTCAAGTTAAAAGAATATTAGATGTATCTGCTTACACTCTCTGAATACGTATCTTGTGCTTAGTCTTCTGAAAATATCTCGTATTTTTACCAGCAAACATTCTGAGATATTGCGCAAACAAAATTAGTTGATTACAAATATCAACGGAGCGTTAAGACAAATATTGATATTCGTCAATCAATTGAAAAATGAAATACCGAATGGGGGGGAGGGCATCTCGTGGGGCATGGGACATCACTGATCGTCTCTTTTACAGGCAAGTACTTAATCAAACTTCTGTCCTCCGCCCGATTTTATTTCCATTTCTACATTGTTTCCCCGGGATTCAAACCCAGGACCTCTCGCACTTAACGCAATTCTATGCATATAAACCTTTAACCATTTGACAAAAGCATAAATCAATCAATTGAAGGTCAACAAATACTTACGAGAATTCTAGATCTTTAGAAACTCATACCATGTTTAAATAGAACACTTGAACGGTTTAAAACGCGATATATATTAGTAAAACTTATTTGAAAATGATTTTTAACTTTGGACCGACTTTATACGTTCTGCAAAGCATCTTTTATCAAAATCGGTCAAGCTGATTAGGCGCGAAATAGTAACAATCTTCCACGTCATAGAGACAAGACCTCCCAGTCGTTTACATGTTTATGCTGTTACACCAAGACGTCCACCCCCGCCATCTTAATGTGTTATTGCACCCCTGTTCAACAGAGGGTGGGTAAAACGAGTCGACATTACCGTACGAAATAAATAATTCACTGAACAATGACTAAGCTTGGTTGTTGCGTGTGTGACGACAATCGTTAATGTAACGTCATAGATTGAACATAACAAACAAAAGCATTTTAATGATTATTTTTTACTAACAAAAGTATGTTTGAGAAGATTTGAACCTGCTTTGACAAAATAATTCATTTGCTCGTCAATTTATCTATACTAATTTATTTATTATAATTTCCACATCGAAACAGAATGCGCTTTTGACTTAATATTCTGGCTTTGGATATTCGGTAATACAGACTGAAACCAAAACCCGATTAAACTTGACCGCTTTTCCATCTGTAGACGGCGGTTCGTGACCCGGACGGGATTTCAATATTTATACCTCCTTCTCCTCCTGTTTATTGGGATCCTGATTACCGGAAAACACGAAGACACCGTTAGTACATTCTGCAAGGACCCGGCCAGTTTCACCAAATACCAACTTCGACGGAACAGATGGCGCTAGCGTAGCAATTTTTTACTTTGACGTCAGAGACATCTTTCATCTTTAGTCTCCCCGTGACCACGGCTGCTGCAAAGCATCCGAAACGTCGGGCCGAAGTTCAAAATCATTTTCAAATAAGTTTAACTAATATATCACGTTTTAAACCGTTAAAGTGTTTTATTCAAATGTGTACTACTCGCATAAACTATAGACAGTATTTATACCACCCACTGAATATCAAGGATTTCCAGACGAAGTCTAACATGTTTCAGAAAAAAGGTTAAATGTTGGACGCGGTGGGAATCGACCCCACGACCTGTTGGTTATTAGCCATAGAATGTAGCATTGCACCAACGAGCCTGTCAATATATCGGCTGTATTGTCATTGTGGCTGTTATCAACATTTAAAGAAGAGAATTTCGCAAAATAAAACGCCGCAAACAAACCCGATTCGAAGAAAGCTGAAAACTTAGAGAGGCTGCGGAGTTTACCTAACATTTCAATAATTCGTTACTTTCCATCATTTCCATGAATATAAAGAGGGGCAGGTAGGCTTGAGGGGCAAACAGACTGGGTACACAAGATATATTAAGATCCGGTATCGGTCTGTGATTTCGTTTATTCAGGCCCCGAACCCAATCGATCTTCAAGTAGGAGGTGACGAGGCGTCGTGTCAAATTTTAATTATGTTTTTCTGACTTCTGGTTTGAAACCCGAATGACTTAAACGTTTGTAATAAATTAAATTATACATATACGAAAGATTCGTGTACATTGCAAAGGCTTTGATGATAAAACAAACTAAGACAGGATCACGAATCTAAGATCAAGTAGAGATTGATTTGTGGCTAAAACAGAGTATGACTGTTTTAATATCTAAAAGAACTAAACCAATTTTGATAAGTCAGAGGCATAGTTTTTAATGTATTAAATTACGAATTGCTTTTGATTACTGTATAAAAACATATCTACTAATATACCCGTAACTCTCTTTACAAAAGTAAGCAATGAAATCATACTGAAGATAAATTTAAAATTCAAATAGCTTTACCACTTTCCACTTGCTTAATCTGAATATTCACGCTACATTTATTAAAACGAATCAAGAGTAAAAACTAGCTGATTTATATACTCCAGAATAAAGAAACAAACAATATTTCCAGAATTAACGACAAGTGCAAACGATAATGTACTCGTAATAATGGTTATCAACATTTTCTTTCTAAATAAAAGCTATTATGTAAAACAATACAAAAAACCTACAAGAAATAGTATAACAAAATAGCCAGTAGTCTTAACTTTTTGCGATTTGAAGTAACTTTTTATATTATAAGTGAAAATTATAATGAATCAGTTCAAAAAATGACAATATCTTGTTCTGAACAGTCAGATACCTTTTTTTGCCAGATTAGTATTAAAACAAATAATAATATTACTGCTGTAATGGTCTGTAGGCCTATAAACATCTATTACCATAATAATAAAGGCAGCTAAGATGGAGTAAACCATCAATTATGCTAGTCGGATGCCGCGCGCCGGCCGCAGAATTCCTTTGAGATTATTAGCAACATTGTGATCAGCATCATTGCGGGAATATACTATCGCCTAGAATTAATTCATAACGTAACAGTAATCCTTTTTTAATATAGTACCTAATATTAATTAAAAGTGTATTAAAAAAGGCAGGTTTTGACCCAACGACAAGCTCTGTAGTCGCGGGTCAATTTTTTTCAGGTCTTTTTTTTTCAAGTTTTGGGTCAAAATTTGAAAATAACCAAAGCGTGTTTTTCGCCATACTTTTTTTAATATAGAACGAACAGTTTGGCAATTAAATACTGTCTATAGTTTACGCGAGTAGTAGGGGAGACCGGGGCTGGTTTACTATAGGGGTAGTTAGACTATCAAAAGCTCGTTCGACGCAAAAGCTTTGAGCCAACCAATGAGGCATGAGAGTTCGCCACCAGTCTTCGTTGGAGAGTAGGAGCGTAAAAGTGACAAATACCACACGCAAGTTATTATTTTTGTCGTCACTTTAATTGTAGTAATGCCTATTTATTCATGGTTATTGATTGTCAAGATATTTATAGCGAATGTTTTATTCATGTTCTTTCTTTTATATATTATTATACTTGATTTCCTCGCAATTTTAAGGCTATGACGTGATTAAAAATTTTAAGGTATTAGTCTACCAGTCTATATCTATATCATATATCAGTATAACGGGGTTGACTAGCTGAAATTTTATCAAAAAAATGTTGTTTTAGGACCTTCGCGACGCTAATAAGGAAAATAAGTGACGTCTATGAAAGTGATGAGGATGAAACATTTTGTTTGGAGTGCACTGAATCCTACAGTTTGAGTATTTTAGGAAAAGGAGAAGGGATTTTATCGTCCCTTTTTTTTATTTTAGGTGTAAGTTGGAGTGTTCAGGTCTAAAGTACAGGTACCAGACATCCAGTGTGCATTCGCCCTAAAACGGCTTTATCTGCTAATGAGTTTGTTGCATGCACAGTATTATGGAAATGGATTTTAATAATTTATTGTCTAAGTACATAACAAAAGGCTTATATAAGGCTTTTATTAAACTTTGGTTCTCCCATTAGAGGTTAGAAGACAGAGCAACGGCACAATGCGCTATTAGTACAGAGTTCGAGTCTCGTCTGTCGTAGTTAATTTAGCATTAATTATTCATATTTTTATGTTCATATCAATCTGAAACTAATTTCGGCCAAGAATTGTCTTTAGTTTTCGCGACTGCACTTGGTATAAATAAAACTTTTTAACGGTTTTAAACGCGATATATATTCGTTAAACTAATTTGAAAATTATGAAGCCGTGATCTCTCCGTGACCACCGAAGTTAAAAATAATTTTCAAATAAGTTTCACTAATATATATATGTATATCGCGTTTAAAACCGTTAAAGTGTGTTATTTAAATGTGTACCGCTCGCGTAAACTACAGACAGTACTTGACCCTATTGACACAATAAACAAAAGGACTAACAGCTATGTAAGAACCCATGTAATTTTTCCAAATACGACGAAACAGATGGCGCTAGCGTAGCAGAGTTGACTTTGACATAGGGACGCTCTCCATCTTTAGTTACTTCGTGCCTCCGCTGCAAATCATCCGCAACGCAGTATAAACAAGTTAATAAACATAATATATCGTTTTTACCCGTCAAAATTATTACTTATAATTGATAGAATGTATTATTTAAAAACTTTTGATTTGTACTTAATAGAAATT